GGTGGGTTGAGTGGGAAGCTTACGGAGAGCTTTTGGTAATAACTCATTAGATTTGGACAAAAGAAATTGAGAATTTCCCCCTTGTTTTGTCTATAATGCTTAAATTCATTGATTCAGTATTTCTGTAAAGGGGATCTTAGTTGGCTTCGTGCCAGAGAGTAGATTTGTGTGATAAACTAAAGTTTTAAAAAAATTATATGTCTTGAAAATGTAGAATATTAGAATGAGCCAGATATTGAAATTATAAAGTAATTGCCATGAAGAACAGGTGCAATGTTATATATATCCCTCATCCATGTCAGTTGAGTTTAGATTTGAGTTGTCAGTCAGCAAAGGTTACTGAATGGCAAACATTTGTCTAATGCACATTCCAAATCTTATATTTAACTTTTTGATCTTATGTTGACCCCCTGGTCAGCTTTCATTGGCCTCCTGTCTATCAGCACGTTATGGGATGGGAAGCATGTGTGGGTGTGTGTGTGTGTGTGTGTGGGAGGAGGCATGGGAGAAAATCAGTTATATATCTTGTATTAATTATACCTTCTGATATCACAGTGCTACTCATATCTCTCTCTTTCTCTCTCTCTCTCTCTCACACACACACACCACTGCACACATTTATGCTCACATGCTCTTTCTCATGCTCTTCTGAAATGCAATTTCTTATTTCTTTGCCTTTCTTACTTAATTATCAGAGTGATAAGATACTTAAGGCAATTTAAAACACGCATTGTCACTTCTTGTTGAACTTATCTTAGGGCAAGTAATACAACTTTAGCAGATAAATGCAGTTAGCTATAGTCGATTTTGAAAAGAAAAAATCAAGTTTACTGTAATGGGTTTACCACCTTCTGATGAACTCCTCCTTCCATAAATCATCTTGACGCCGTGACAAATTTAAATGGCATGGAAGCTGGTGCAAGAATTGAGCTCAAACAAATAGCATAATTTGAAATTACATAGCCTAAGTGCCTGTTAAGGGCCTTTTATTGTCACAAATTTATGGCTATAGTCAGGTAATGATCAAGTCTAGTCGAGGCAGAACAGCTATCTTGTGTGGATATTTCATTTAGATTAGCAGGCCTCACAGAATAATGCCAAAATGGGACTAGTTTGAGAAAGAGATCTGCAATTGATTGAAAAATATCAATCAAGAGTTACACCAGTAACTTTAAAAAGTCTCTCCCGACTTGAGACAGAACTAGATAATATATAAAAGATATTACAGAAATTTTATTTATGTGTATGCCCCCCCCCCCAAAAAAAAAAAAAAAAAACGTAAAAAGAAAGTGGGACAATATTAATCATATGTTACAGTTGAATTGATGAGCACCCATCATGAGATATAGTTATTAAGCAATACTGG